TAGCCGGTTATTTCACCCATAAATGAACTTTTTAAAATTGTAACCACAATCCCATTACCCCAGGCTCACAAATGAACTTGTTATCAGTGTTGTGTGGTGAGAGCACGCTCCCTAACTGGTCAGTCCTCTGCCACCCCCGGCTGCTCCTCGGGCCTCGGGGGCTCTGCTGGGCTCCGTTCCTCTTCACTAGTCCCGTCACCACCCCGGGTGACCTCACTGTCCCAGGGCCCCGGCTTCCCAGGGCCTGGACCTCCTCCCCAGCGGCCGGGTCTTCCTCCTGGGCTCCATGGCCGGGCCCCCAGGGCATCCCACACATGCCACGCTGCCCCTGGCCCCAGAGTTGACTGGGAATGTTAAATGTAGTGCGTGCTGCTGGCTTCTCATACGTACTCTTCAGACGTTTCTTTGTACATTGGAGACTTTTTTCAAGAACGTAACTTCTGATTCTGTGACATGGGAATGGGAAGAATGCCCGGCCTGCCACGTGGCTGATGCGAGGGTCGGAGAGCCCTCCCTGCAGGGCTGGCAGGAGCCTCTGGCATTTCACTGATGTGCCATGGTGCCAGGCGGCCATTGGCGGGGCCAGCCGGATGCTTAAGAGGAACTCCTCAAGCTCAGGCTCAGTTACTAAGAAAGTACCCTCTGTGTTAAGGCCGTACGTTCTCGGGCTGGCGGCGTGTGGGGCATGGGCTTCGAGTGTTAGAGCCGCAGGAGCCTGGCTCCCGAGGGCTTTATTAGCAGAGGGCACCGAGGGCTGGACTTGCGGAGGGACAGCTCCGGCCCGGCACAGCTGTCCTGCCGCCCGGTGGCTCTCCCACACGAGGCACTTACACTGGGAGTCAGAAGGCAGTGACGCCATACGCCTTCTCCCCGCCGCCGGCCCGCTCTGAAGGCACCAGAGTTAGTGGGGCTTTTCCCATCCTACTGGTTTCTCGTTCAGAGATGAGTTCGGTGATTTAGAGCAGCTCGAGTCTCTTCTGTAGAGTGACAGCCCACACTTAGTGAGTGCTGTGTGCGCACTGTTCAGCCCTCCTGGCAGCTCTGTGATGATCATCGCCCCCCGTTGCTGACGGGGAGACGAGGGTTCCGAGGGCTCAGGACCTGGGCTGGATCGCCAGGAGGAAGGAGTGGGGCTGGGATTCGAACCCAGGGCGTCACGGCCCGGTCCCGAGCCCTGGGTGCCCACACTGTGCTGCTCCTCCCAGGCAGCAGGACGTCGTACTGTCCTGGTACCACATCCACGTGCGTGTGCAGATTAGCTCACACCGGAAGTGTCCCTGCACGGCGGAGCGCTGTGTCAGCTAATGGTTCCACAGTCCTTCGCAATCGCCATAACCCCTCTCGGAGTGCACATAGGTTCAGCCAGTTTTTATTAAAGCTACGTGATCCTATTACGTTTTCAAACAAGAGATGAAAAGCAGTTGGAATCTCATTAGTCTGTGCACCTGAACGGACGCCTTTAGATGGACTAGGAGCGGAAGCCCTTCCACAGGCACACGGCGTCGCAGGCTGGACGGCGCCAGTGCCACCCGCAGGCCTCCCCTGGCTCCACGACCAGCGGTTCTGGGAGTGACCAGAAAGTGTAGCATCGTCTTTGCTGAGAGCTGCTGTTCTCAGGACAGGCGGCCTGTGGAGACGCCCCTCGCGTGTCTCGCGTGCTGTGGGAGGGGCCGAGCTTCGCCTTAAATGCTCGTCTCCTCCCCCGACAGTGCATGACCCCCGACCAGCTGATGGCGCTGTGCAGAGCCGGCATCCAGAGCGGCAGCGTCGGGGTGAGAGTGAACGTGGTGAGCATTTTGGGAATCACCGGCAGCGTCCTCGCCAAAGAAGATGGCGCACTTGAAACTCTCAAGGTAACACAGTGGCTTCCGACCTGAACTGCTCAGTGATTAGAGGTGGGGGTGGGGTTTCAAAACTTCACCGGACATCGTGAGACGAGATCACATTAAACTGCTTCCTGGAGGGTATTAGTGAAACGCACCCTGTCGTGCGGGGTGTGAAGTAGAAACGCTGCCTGAAGGGTTCCTGGAAAACAGGCCCGAGCAGTGAGCAGCCTGTCCCGCGGTCGCCCTGCTGCTTACAGTGGAGCCAGTTTGGCGCTCAGCCTGTCCCCTCGCACCTGTTTACCAGGTGGGCGCCCTCGGGGGTGAGGCTTACGGCCCGCATGCTGCCCGCTGTCTGCAGGTGGGGAGGGCTGCCGTCGGCGGGCTGTGGTGAGGTGGGTGTCTCAGGGCAGCACAGTGGAGCCACATGAGACTGTTGTGTTCAGTTTCTTTCATTGCCTGTGAGTGTTTGTCTTACACTTTAAAAAGCAGGGTTTTTTGTTACAGATACTATTTCTATGCATCTTTACACCATGGGGAAAGCCTTTTTGAGGGTGACGAAAACTTAATAATTTTCTAAATCCGATCTTTTATATATTCATTGTGGGCCTTATTTCATCTTATTTAGTAATATAAGCTCTACTATGTTTCATTTTTCTGCCTTACATTTTACTTGGGACATTTATAAATATGGGTTAAGTTTTTTAAAACGTCTTCTTTGGCCCCTGGGCGTTTTATGTAAAAACGTTAGCAATAAACCGCTGCCACCGTGAAGCGGTGCTCGGGAATGGCCCTCGAGCGCCAGGTGACGGTGCGTTCTGTCGGCTGCAGACCACTGGGTGCTTCCTGCTGGAGAGTGCCCACCAAGGACCCTTGCTGGTGGTGAGTGGGAGAGGCCCTGGGACGCCCTATCGATGAGTTCGCTGACGGCAAGCGAAGCTGAGAGGACCCTCGGTGCAGATCCGTTTGTTATCTGCCCCGAAAGGAATTCCAGCCAGTGTTCAAGATGAAAGGTACGAGGTGGTGGGGTCAGAAATGCTAACGCCTCAGTGTCCCGGGTTTATGGGCTTGGGGGGGGGGGGAAGGGGCAGTGCGGCCCCTCCCAGCCGCCTCCGTGCTGCCTGGAGCACCGGGCCCGGGCTGAGTGCTGCGGGCTGAGTCCCCGCTCAGTCACCCAGAAGGTGCAGCCGCTGGAACTTGAGCCAAATGGCGGCTGATGTTCTCCTTCCTGTGAGCTCAGTGATGTCACAGTCATGTCCTCATGTGGGTGCACGGTGGTCTGGGGCCCTCAGAGCTCTTCACGTCTTCACCCTGATGGTATGTCCTGCAGTGCAGACAGTGATTTCATTGTCATGGATGCTTCCCTTTGGGGCGCTGAGAAAAAGACAGACTCGCCGCCGGTCTCTGTGGGGGAATGGCACCACTCTCATTCGCTGTTTTATTTATTCTTTCATCTGAAGCATCACAGCTACCTTTGAGTCAAAAAATAATTTTCCAAACCTCTTCTGGGGGCAGGTGGAGTGACACCAAGAATTTTACAACAGCCTTGAACCACATGCGTCTAAATTTACCATTCCCTTCTTACCTAAATCTTAATTTTTAAATTATGTCATTTTTTAAACAAAAATATTTGTGTTTTTCGTATTTAGATTTTAAATTCAATATTCCCTCTTATATCTTGGTGGGGAGAATAGAGGTTTTGATGGAAAGTTATCCTGCTTTTTTTTGTTTTCCAAAATGCATTTCTTTGATCTAAGAAGCTTTTAAAATAGAATTTCAGGCCTCATGGAGAGAACTCTGTGATAAGTTTTAGGTGGTTATGATTGTATGGCTAGAAATTTAAATTTCCTGAAAAAATTTTAAGACATAAAGTAGTTTTCACCCAGCCGGTGTGGCTCAGTGGTTGAGCATTGACCCCATAAACCAGGAGGTCACCGTTTGATTCTGGCCAGGGCACATGCCCAGGGTGCAGGCTCGATCCCCAGTAGGGGGCATGCAAGAGGCAGGTGAGATGATTCTCTCTCATCTCTATCTCTCCCTCTCCATTCCTCTCTGAAATCAACTAAAAAACAAAAAGTTTTCTTTTCCAGAAGAAAAGAAACTGTAAACCCAGGCTGTGCCCATCTTCTGCCATTGTCACATCTGTAGTGGGTGTCGGTTTAGGAACATTAACAGCGGTTTGTTTTTATATAATGTTAATGTCATTGCAGTAAATTTAATTAAATTAAAAGGTGTATGATCTTAATTTATTTTTATGGCTCATGTGCTGTTACTCCATTTACTTTGAAAGTGAAAATGTTGACTCCGGCCGCTTGACAATAAGATGGCGGCGTAGGTAAATGCCTGTACTCATCACCTCCCACAACCACATCAAAATTACAACGAAAATACCCAACAACCATCATCCAGAACCGCTGGAAAGCTGGCGGAATGGAAGTCCTACAACTAGAGGTAAAGAAGAAAGCGCTGAGACTGGTAGGAGGTGTGGAGGCGCGGAACAGGCTGGTCTGACACCCACGTGGGCCGCTTTTTTAATCTGGAGGAAGATCATCTCTGCGGAGTTCCCTGGAGGAGCAAGGGGTCCCAGCCCCACACCAGACCCCCAGCCCAGACTCCCAGAGCTGGGAAAAGAAGTCACTACAGGCAGTAAAAACCAGTGGGGACCGGGGCTTGGTAACACACAGGCTGCTAGAGGATCCAGCTGTTCCTCTTTAAAGGTGGCACCACGAACTGAACTTACAAGGTCCGGCTTCCCTCTGAGCTCCAGCACCAGGGCGAGGTTCTGGGGAACACAGACACATACAAGGAGGAACTGGATTGTCTGGTATCAGAGCAGGAACTCGGGGGGCGGCTTTCTCCCAACGGAGGTGCTCACAGGGATCATTGTTCCTATGCTGGGATCTCCCGGTCACAGGGCTGACTGGCAGCCATTTCTATTTGTTCCGTCCTGGTGATTCCCTAAGACCTGGTCCCACCTAATTTACAACCACACCCAAGCTACAGCTGGGTCAGGAAGCCCCAAACCTATCAATAAAAGGCCCAAGACCTGGCACCAGTACCAGTCTGCCTTGCTTCACAGCTGGGCCTCATCTGGGCACTGCCAAACCCAATACAAAGAGGAGGAATTTGGAGATCTCTTGTAGCTTCTGCTGGGTGGCCCCAGGCAGTGGCTGACTTTGCACCTCTCTGGAGACCCAAGAGCCAAATGAAAGAAATGGAAGAAAGCAAGCTACTGGATATAGAGTTCAAAACCATGGTTATAAAATTACTCAAGAATCTTCTAGAAACCTCCAAAAAAATGGAAAAGGACTAGTCAGAAATTAAGCCTACACTGACTGAAATAAAGAATAATGTACAGGGATTAAAAAATAGAGTAGAGGATTCTGAAAATCAAATCAATGATTTGAAATATGAGGAAGCAAAAACACCCAACCAGAAGAGCAAAAAGAAAAAAAGAATCCAAAAATATGAAGATAGTGAAGGAGCCTCTGGGACAATTTCAAGTGTACTGACATTCGCGTTATGGGGGTGCCAGAAAAAGAGAGAGAGCAAGATATTGAAAACCTATTTGAAGAAATAATGAGAAAACTTCCCCTACCTGGTGAAAGAAATAGACTTACAAGTCCAGGAAGCACAGAGAGTCCCAAACAAGAGGAACCCAAAGAGGCCCACACCAAGACACATCATAATTAAAATGCCAAGGGCAAAAGACAGAATCTTAAAAGCAGCAAGAGAAAAGCAGTTAGTTACCTACAAAGGAATGACCATATGACTATCAGCTGATTTCTCAACAGAAACAATGCAGGCCAGAAGGGAGTGGCAAGAAATATTCAAAGTGATGAATAGCAAGGACCTACAACCAAGATTACTTTATCCAGCAAAGCTATCATTCAGAATTGAAGGTCAGATAAAGAGCTTCACAGACAAGAAAAAGTTAAAGTCCATCACCATCAAACCAGTATTATATGAAATGTTGAAGGGTATTTAAGAAGAGGAAGAGGAAGAAGAAAAAGAAAAAGGATAAAAAGACACAAATGCCACAAATACATACCTATCAACATTGATCTAAAATCAAAATAAACGATAGAAATCTAATGATCAGAATAAACTGGTGATAAAATAGAATCAAAGGCAT